GATGTTCAATTTATCAGTCACCGAACGGTGGTATATTATTTTGCATGCAATTTATGTTCATAAATTTTGTTACCTAAATCAATCACCAATTTTATTAATGCGATTTGCTTCTAAAAATATTTTTGTGCTTTCAAACAATCAAATTTACCTAGAGAAGACAACAAATCAGTTTTTCATAAAATGTCACAACTCTTTTGAAGTAGGTATATTCATGTTTTATAGATGAAAAAGCTTAGAGGGCTAGACTACTTGGCCAAAGACTTAAAGTCAATCAATTACACATTGTCAGAATGTCTACCTCAGATTTACACAGGCAACTCAAACTTAGCATATCTAAAATGAAACTTACTAATTCATTCTTGAAACCTGATTCTCTTCCTTAATCCCCTATCTTGATCAGTGTTACAACCATCTGCCTGTATATCCAAGCCAAAACTTCTTCCTCAGAACTCCTGTTAAACTGATCTCTTACTTGGTTTATTCTATCTCTTTAACTAATATGTTTAAATTGAGCCTATCTTCTTCCCTATTTTTATCCTTCATTGAACATCTACTTTTTACATATATTTGTTACAGTTTTTATTAAAATATATTGAAATTAGTATTCATTGAGGCAGAATCCTTTTCATATTGTCCTTTCGAGCATTAGTATTAAGTGAAGAATGGGAGTGAGCAAAAAGGAACACATTCAATTCCCAGCTTTTTCTTTTAATTAATTAATTCATTCAGTAAGTATTTATTGAGTATATACTGTGTCAGGTACAGTGCTAGTTGTGGAGGACACAGCATTATGGTCAAATTGAGTTAAGTAAATAATCATATAAATACTTAAAACAACAGTTAATTTGAAGAATTTTTGATTTCTAGAAACAGCTTATAAGAGGGACTCCTTTTGTATCAAAGTCTAGGAGTTCAGGTAGGGGAAAGAGTCAGGGAAGGCTGCACATACCAAGCAAGAAAAACAACAGCAACAAAGAATATTAAGTTAGTATAGTTTGAGATGGTTCTGTGAAGTTCCCTTCTCTTCTGCTGAATCTATACGTTCTGAACCTTCAAGAGTGTGTTTTGGACTACATCTTCATAACAGGACAAATTAATAACTGTTTTGCTTGACTGAAAGGTATATTTGGGGGCATTGAGTATAGGATAAAATTATATAAATTCACATCTTTTAAAAAAATTTTTAATTTCTTGCTTTCTATAATCTTCAGATCCTTTGTCATCTTTTTTCTCTCATCTGCTTTGCTACTTCTGATCTGCATTGTGTCTCTGTTAGTGTCTGCTTTGTCTTATTCTGTCCCTGCTTTTCTTTACCCCTTGGATCTTTAATGCTTTTTCTCTTTCTTTTTTCACTTTTATCCAAAACTAGGGGAAACAAATAAAAAGGATTCAAGTTAAAATTACTTACATTTACATACTATTATACATATTTGCATTTGTGTATTTTACCTGTTCAGATCATGATACCTTTTTTTCAGTCTCTTTGCTATCATTGGTATTTTTTTAACATGTTAAATGTGGTATGTAGAAAATGAGAGAGAATAAAAGCAAACAAATCAGAGTTTTCTTGTTAGAATAAAAGCAAACAAATTAGAATTTTCAGAAAAATTTGAAATATTTTTATCATTTGAGGTCAACGTTTTGCATCTTAGGATTGAAAAAGGTGAATGACTAGTTTCAGAAAGGAAAAAGGTGATATTGACTGATTTAGGGATAAATCAAGAAATGCGACATTTCACGCATGAATATTTTCACTTAGAGTGCAAGGTTGTCAGTCAGAATTTGCATGCTATAGGAAATCAATTGAAACTTGAGCCCATAGACATTTACTTCAGCAAAATTCTTACTAATTATCATTACTATGTCAAGTTAGACTGTTGTAGGCATAATTTAAAGTTTACAAAAGATTGGAGTTCTTTTGTCTAATTGTAAACCTTATATTAATGAGATATATAGTTCATCAGATATATTTCATATAACACCAACTATTATTTTAAGTATTTAGATCAGTAAAGTGTTACGTGTTGTACATAACACTAGTAAACCTTGGCACCTTCCCCAAAGTAATTTTAAATAGAAAATTGAAAGCCATGTATAGTTGTTTCAAATCACCTCTTTTCTGAAAAGGCAAGTTGTCTTAAGTTTTGTGTTGTTTTAAGTGACACAGCATGTGATATACTTATTTTAGACCTGAATTTCGTTAGTCTGACAATTATTTTTGTTGTTTCTTAAACTAGATATTGAATGATCTAGCTTATAAAATTATGTCAAATATTCTAAATTGGCACTTACAGCGCAAACATCAAAGAGCTAGTCTCATTTTCCAACACTGTATCAAGGATTTGCAAACTAAGAACTTATGTTGAAATCCAGCCTGCTTCCTATTTTGTAAATAAAGTTTTATTGGGATACACCTATACTTGTTCACTTAAGTATTGTGTATGGCTGCTTTTATACAACAGAAGCAGAATTTAGTAACTATGATAGAGAGCATACAGCAAAGCCTAAAATAATTACTATTTGGTCATTTACAGAAAAACTTGACTGATACCTGCTCTGTGTAATCTAGTCGAGAATAAACTATGATATAATCTATTTTTGGTATCTGTGATATCTCCTGAAACTTTTAAAGAGACACAAGTAGAGAAAGTTACTTGCATCTATGTAGATTTTCAAATCTCGAATTAATCATTTTTTTCATTTTGACTAAATTTATATTTTTCTTTTAATGGCCATTTATCACTATACTTACATCAATTATAAAGAATTATAACAAAGCAAGATTGAGATCCAAATGCTAAGTGGCTGACTTGGCTCACTTACGTCTTGTGTGTCAGACCTAGCACAGTAGCCTTCCCAAAAACATAATTTAAAATAATTTAAAAGGAAATGACAAATCACTATTATGTGCTTTCAGCAGCAATCACACAAATTATTTAAAGTCTGAATTCTAAATTTATGTGCCAGGGATCTGGAATAGCCTTTGATAAGGACTTTTAATTCTGATTTTTTACAAATGTTTAAATTATTAGTAGGGAATTCTAATATTAGACTAAATACAATTATCTTAAACCTTTCCTATTCAAAGATATTAATTTGAAACATTTGAACTCTTCATCTTTCTCTCCTTACAGTAATGGTTTACATTGCAATGCCTGAAGACAGCCTATAAACATTACATAGAAATTCCATACACGTTTTGTGTGTGTGTTGATTATTTGGAATATATAGAATAGGTAACCTGCTGTTGTTTCTTTCCTGGTCATATATAATTCTTTGAAGCTAAAAATAGAGATTTATAACCTTGGTAACTAAATGTCTTTTGTTGTTGCAAAGGTTCCAGAGGAATTTACCAATGTAAATGTTTAATTATCATGTATCTGTTCACATTTTAAATTATCAAGTTTAATAAGATAATTGTGAAGTTTGTAAGCATTTAAATTGGATTTTATTGGATAGCTGCCATAATTAGGTCTTACTTTGATTTTACCTGAAAAGTAAGGCAGTAAAAGATAAGATAAATATTTCTCACCACATATTACTTCCTTAGAAATTGTATTTAACCAACCAATTACTGCTGGTTAAGTGCTACTAATTTTCTACAAATATTTTCACTATGATAATAAATGTTAAGGCTATTATTATATAGTTTTCTGCTGTGTTTTTCAATTGAGATGAAAAGAAGTGTTTATACTCACAATTCTTGTAGAACAAACTTTTGTTAAGCAGCATCTTTGAAAATTGTTCATTTATTTTGAAGATTAAAGATGAAAGTAGTTGCACTTCTTTAAATGTAAACCTAAGTGGACGTTAGTAGTTTGAGACACATTGAATTATATATAACTTAAAATTACTATACCTTCCTGTTAACTTATACTATTTATGTATGTCTAGAAATAGCTTTTTACTATATGTGTATATATTTTTTTCTGTTGAAATACTATGTTATAAAAATACTACTTTTCCATGAGTGTAGCAATTTTATCCAGTTGTGAAGTTTGGAACCATTCAGTGGCATATTTATTAGGTGTCTTCTATTATCTTTGGCTAGTATCCTCTTTTATGGTAAATGTTAAATCATAGAAGCACAGAAATGGGGGAAAACTTGAGAAAACAGCAACTTGGATATCTAAACTTTTTAGTGTAATTTTAAAATAATTGAGATCCTTTCTAGAATCTATACCTTTTCACTAACACATATTACAAATTTTCTTTTAATTTACTTACTTTAAATGGTTTCCTAAATTATATTATAGACATTTTCTATGTAATTTAAAACTACTTTCTTTACCTTTACTGCATTTCTTCAATTTCTCAACATCAGCAAACATTTCAGGAACCACTATGACTCTTGTAAGACAAAATGCATTTCTGAGGGGAGCCAATTTGTATTTTTTGTCTTTATGTTGAATAATTCTACATATATTAGGAAGAAGAAAATAACATTCATTAGTCATCTAAAAACTTGGTACAATTTTGTTCAGCCTTCCTGTATATTTGTGTTATAATAATAAACAGGTAACAGCAAGAGATTTTTCACTTCAAATTTAGTGTAATTATTTGTCATTGCTTTTGAGGGAACATAGTTAAACTTTGTAATAAAAATACTTGCCTTGTTTTACTTATGATGGTGTCCAAAAAGAGAGGAAATACAGTTTCTGATAAAAATGGAAAGTCCAGGAATAAATATAATGATGAGAATGAGTGCTTTTATCACTGGGGAACTTTCTTCATCTAAGCACATATGAACAATTGATCCTTGTAGTCATATATAGCAGTAAACATTAATAACTTAACAGTCTGAAGTCAGTGCAGAAGATATGGAGCATTATTGAAAGATGGAGTCGAGCAGGTGGCACTTTAATATGTTCAGTGTCATGGTTGACTCTAAAGACTAGTCGAATGAAATTACTTGAGGTTCTAAAGATTTAAAAAGCGAACTCATTTTGCTGCACTAAGGAAATGCTACTGATCAGGCTTTCTGTGTCCCTTTTTTCTAGGCTAGAAAATATTAACCCTGAAGAAAATGACATGGTAAGCCATTCTCTGAGGAGATTTCTTGATGTCAGTCTTATATCTTAGAGGCTTAAGTTCAATTGAGTGGGTTTCAAGAACTAAGATGTGGGAAAAAGAAGAATTGACACACTAATAATGTACATCTTTGCCGCAATATGAAAATTCAATAACTTCACTCAGTCAATTTACAATTCACATGTGCCTATTAATTAAAACCCTATATTAAATAAAATATATTAAAACTTCATGTCTGACTAACATATAATGGTGTTGGTAGACATTACAGGAATTACTGAACAGAATAAACAATGCAGACACAGGGATAGCTATTCAAAAGAATGGAGCTATAATTGTGGATAGAATCTACAAGACCAAAGAATGTAAAATGAGAATAACTGCAGAAGAAATGAGTGCACTAATAGAAGAACGGGATGCTGCCTTGTCTAAGGTAACTCTGCATGTATCTGTAAAAGCATGTACTTACCATTTTCCTCTGTTTTTTTTTAACCATTGAAAAATGACTTTGGCCCAGATATTCTTAATTCATATAGTTTTTAGAACATAATTAATACCACAATGATTAGCTATATTGAAATAATTATATACTTTATTATACTACTGTTCAAAATTTGCAACCTCATTTTAAATAAAATTGAATGCAGTCTAATTTCTTCATAAAATTAAACTTGTTTTATAACATGCTACCTTGTTATAGAAATTTAGTTATATTCTTTCAATTAATCACTTTTATATGGGACTTCTTACTTAAGCTGCAGTTTTCTGAGGGCTGAAATTATGTCTGTATTACTGTTTTATTGCCATTGCCTAATTCAGTACCTTTTAGTAAACAATGATTAATAGATTAAAATTATTTATGTATTTTTTCTGAATTCCACTTACACCTTCCTGTTCTACCCGAAACCTGATTACCTCCCTCAAGCCACTGCTTTCAGTGTAGTCATTTAAAGTAGTGGCTGTGCTCTCTTTCATACCAGTTATACCACTGGGCTTAGAGGTTTGTTTCTCATTATTGTTTTTATTTATTTATTTATTTAAATGGAGATGAGGTATCACCTTGTTTCCCAGGCTGCTCTTGAACTCCTGGCCTCAAGTGATCCTCCTGCCTCGACTTCCCAAAGTGTTGGGTTTGCAGGTATGAGCCACCATACTCAGTCTTGTTATTGTTTTCAGACCAATGTCTTTTTCACTCCCTGAACACCTCCAGGTTTGAAACTTATACATCAGACTAAACTACCCAGTACCTATTATCATTGTAGTCATGTACACACTTCTATGTCACTTCCCTTGTTTTGTTAAGATTTTTGGATCTATTCCAGTGTTTCTTTCTTTAGCCTACTCATGTCATAATTCTTGGTGATGTAAATTCCTATGTAGACAATCCTTTCAAAAATTATAGTCTCTTATTTCCTAGAATTTCTCTGTTTTAGTCCTTGTGTGCTGCACACAATATCTGCCATGTACTCTGTGGTCATACTCTGTTCCTGGTCATTCTGAGTCTTAATATCAGGCCTCCCACTTTCTGACTAGCAGCTGCTGTCTTTCTAGCTCACTCACTCTAGAACTCTGACTCTATCAATTTTTCAACATATTTCTTTTACTTTTTCTTTTTCTTTTTTTTTTTTTTAGGCAGAGTCTTGCTCTGTGACCCAGGCTGGAGTGCAGTGGTGCAATCTTGGCTCACTGCAGTCTCCTCCTTCGAGGTTAAGTGATCCTCCTGCCTCAGCCTCCTAAGTAGCTGGGACTATGGGTGTGCGCCACCACACCTGGCTAATTTTTCTATATTTTTTGTAGACACAGGGTTTTCCCATGTTGGACAGACTGGTCTTCAACTCCTGACCTCAAGTGATCCGCCTACCTCAGCCTCCGAAAGTGCTGGGATTACGGGTGTGAGGCACTGTGCCTGGCCTTAACTTATTTCTATTGATCTTACTCTTTTTTATCCCTCAAACCCCTTATGTCCTTACTCTGTCCGCCATACACATCTAGCTTAAATTCCATTGCCCGTTATAATTATCACCAACTTGCATATAATATAACCGTATTTTTCTTGGCCCCCTCTTCCTTTGTCCTACTCACCCAGCCAATTCAAACCTAGTTAAATGAATCTTTCTGCTTTGTTTCTTCACAGCTTTATAAGGCAGGAGAAAAATCACACAAATTTACCAAATGAACTTACCTTAAATCCATGACCAACTGTTAATATCTTCAAGTAGATTCTCAATGTTGCCTGGCAACTTCTTGCCATTTGCTTGTCTATTCACTCTTCCCTCTGGAGGACTATTTTATCTCTTCTTTCTCTGTAGTTATCCAACTTCTCCTCCCAGTTAAAAAGATAACTTCTGCATGTCCCCAGCCATTTCATCTACCAGCCTACCTGTATTTGCACCCTGTACTCTGCCTTTTCTACTTTACTTTTTTCTAACTACGTGCTTCTGTTTAAAAACAAATGAACCAGTAAAAAGGAAAAGTGATGTTTTAAGGGATAAAAAAGATAATTGCAGTACCAAGTCTTGGAGTAGATGAGTAAATTGATAGGAAATAGGTTCTAGAACATAAGTATAGGAATTGGCTTTTGTTAGGAACAGGGAAACTACTTTCATTCTAACAGATGCCTGTAAAGATCTTGGATAGATACAGATGCTGGCAAGTTGATAAATTTAATAATGGGAAGTTGGGGATGCAGTGTCATTCTCTACTAAAATGTTAGATTAATTTATATTTTCAGTGGATTAGTGGATGGTGGTGAAGATTTATAAAGTACAGACAGTTTGAAATCATTTTTCTTGTTTGTGTATAAATGAACATAACTAGAGAAATGTAGGATTGCCAGGCAGACCTAAATGCACATTTAAGAATTATGGTAGTTAAATTTTTAAAAACCTATCTGTGAAATTGTGTGATTTCTTTTAGCAGTATTCCAATCTTGAGTATAGTATGGTATAGTAGATATTTGATTTTAACTACAATGGAGATTTTAATGAGTGAGGACCAGAGAGTTATTATAGCAATGAAACACACATTCTCCCTCACCATGGACTTTCCCTTATGTAAAGAGATAGAGGAGTGATGAGGCACGTAGAAAGAAACTGAGGAGAGTGTAGTATTACAGAAGGCAAGGTCCTGGATAGTAAAAAATTGGTAAGCCCATGTATTGGAATTCTTGGTTTGTCAAATAATTGCGTTATAGTAAGTTGCAGTGAAGAGAAAAAGGCACTTGAAATAAAGATTTTGCACTTATTACAATTATTAAGGTTAGTGATTTCCAGATGTTTTTCTGTGTAATTTTTATATGGATGTATAGGAAAAAATAAACCCTAAATGATACATATTTTATCACACAGTAAGCCAGATTCAGAAGTGGTTACAGAGAGGAAGCATATCTACGGAAAAATATGAATTTAAAACTTGCAAGGAATTTCCTCCATATTGTAACAAGTACAGAAATTAAGGTCTGCAAAGATAATATAATGACACATATTTCAATATTCAGAAATGGGTGCTAGAACATTCCTGGCTTGGTTATGAATTCCTCACTTGGCATCTACATGACTAGCAGTCACTTTGATAAAGCAGATTGAGATTAGGGAGTGCAGCATACGCTAACAAACCCACTTGATGAACATACCTAGAATTCTGCCCAATGATGTAACCTTCAAAGTTGTCTTTTCACTTTAGCAGAGGACATAATCAAATATCCTAGTGTCTTAATCTCTCCTTTTTAGTGTCGTTTTCACTTTGTGTTTCTTATAATTAACATAGTGTATAGCATATAATAGATACAAAGTGATGATAAGTTAAAATATTAGAAATTTGACAAAAAGGTCATACTCAAAAGGAAAATAAAGTATAACATTTAAAGTTTCATTTTTCAGGAAAGGTGGGAAACATATTTGATATTCTTTATTTTAGTGGCTATAAAATTTTCATTAATTTTTCTCTTGTCAGTTTGTTAATTTGCTTTCCTATCATGTAATTATTTGTTTATGCATGTTTTTTCAGTCCATCTTGCTAAAATATATTGTTGATAGTTCATCTATTGTAATTACTTGTTTTTTCTTATTGTGAAATTTTTACAACTTTTTGAAAGTATATAGAACTTCAGAAATTACAAATAAGCAAAAAGAAGGAAAAAATTGTCCCCAAACTCACTTCCTAGAAATAGTTATATGTACATTGTCTTTTTTCAATGCATATTATATTGTATGTACTACTTTGTAGCCTGATTTTTCACATTGATTTGACATTTTGTTAGATATTCTCATAATTGTACTTTATTTTATTTATTTATTTGAGACAGAGTCTCATTCTGTTACCCAGGCTGGAATGGAGTGGTGTGATCATGGCTTTGGTTAAGCTCACTGCAGCCTCAACCTCCCAGGCTCAGGTGATCCTCCAACCTAAGCCTCCAAGTATCTGGGGCAATGGGCACACACTACCACACCAGGCTGATTTTTTTTGTATTTTTTTAGAGACGAGGGTTTCATCATGTTGCCCAGGCTGGTCTTAAACTCCTGGGTTCAAGTGATCTACCCACTTCTGTCTTCCAAAGTGCTGAGATTACAGACACGAGCCACTGCACCAAGCCTCATACTTTGATACTTTGGGCATGTTAAGATTTGTTTAACTTACCTGCCATTGACAGTTTTGGGAATAGGAAAATTTTTGTAAATAAATTTTTATGTATATCCATGTTTTTTTCCTAAAGGAAAATTCCTAGGAATGAAAAGGATGACCTAAAGAATATAAACATTAAAAAATAAACATATATTTCTTTTTTTGTTATCTTTTTTTTATTATTATTATATTTTAACTTCTGGGGTACATGTGCAGAACGTGCAGGATTGTTACATAGGTATACACATGCCATGGTGGTTTGCTTCCTCCATCCCTCTGTCATCTACATTAGGTATTTCTCCTAATGTTAGCCCTCCCCAACCTCCACCCCCTGCTATCCCTCCCTACCACACTTTCCCCCCCGACAGGCCCCAGTGTGTGATGTTCCCCTCCTTGTGTCCATGTGTTCTTATTATTCAACACTCACTTATGAGTGAGAACATGCTGTGTTTGGTTTTCTGTTCTTTGTCAATTTGCTGAGAATGATGGTTTCCAGATTCATCCATGTCCCTGCAAAGGACATGAACTCATCCTATTTTATGGCTGCATAGTATTGCATGGTGTATATTTGCCACATTTTCTTTATCTAGTCTATAACTGATGGGCCTTTGGGTTGGTTCCAAGTCTTTGCTATTGTAAACAGTGCCACAATAAACATATGTGTGCATGTGTCTTTAAAATTGAATGTTTTATAATCCTTTCGTTATATACCTAGATTGCTGGGATTGCTGGGTCAAATTGTATTTCTAGTTCTAGATCCTTGAGGAATCGCCACATTGTCTTCCACAATGGTCGAACTAATTTACAGTCCCA